ATTTTCCTAGTTAGCTTTTTTCAATTAAAAGGGCTGAAATGCACCTTAAAAACCATCGTTCAAAAGGCTGAACTGTGCCTTTAAGAATACTGGCTACTCTTTTTATGAAAACAACCAAACCAAGTGCTTTATAAATGTTATGTTCTCAAGCGGTAAGATACGAAAATAATTATGTGTAAGTTCTTATTGGCTCGTTCATTTTGTTACAGTTTGTATCCGATGTCTTCAATTTCCTCATGTCAATATCGTACGGTTGCTCATAACGGAAAATATCAAACCTGAATTTATTGCTGAACATTTTCACCAGTGAAGAATATTAATTGAACAACGTTTTTTCCCCTTACAATTCATGAGGCCATCTGACATGACGAACCTGGTGTCACGAAGGTTGGTATATAAACAAGCGTGTTGGTATATGATTGGCTCAACCTCGTAACCAGAGCTTGTATTCTTGTGGATGTTACAAGCGCGCAGAAGCCCTTGGTGTAAGATTGTTATTAGCTTGGCACGTGGCTTTTGCTTTTGTCGAATATATTGCATAATTATAATTAATATATTAGAAATAACAAATTTTTGGGGATAATCCAAATTGATTTTGTTTCAAAGATTACTAAGTCAAATAGTTTATTGGCAAGAAGCAGAAAAGTTTCACAAACATTTCAAAACGTTTTACGAAGTGTTTGCGGTAGAAATTTACATTAATTCTACAGATCTTCCACGTTTCGAGCCAAGGCCCTTCGTCGGGAAGTTAGGGCCACACGAGCCTTCGTTCGAAACTTCGAGGTTCACTTATATTGTTCCGCAGGTAATTGTATTTCCTTCACACAGTGTTTCTCTGTCGTCGTCTCAACCTACACGGGCACCGAGATAATCTACCTATATAACTTACCTCATTATTTTGCTTTGGTGAGGGTTGCTGCATGCATGTGTTTCAAATCTAAATTACAATAAAGAAAATATCAGTGTTGTTATGTCACGGATGGCACTGATAACAGTAGTCCCTCGGGGGTCGAGTCGAGTTATAAGCTACATTCAGTTAAACCCCGCATATAAGAACCTAGATTTTTCCAAGTTAGCCTAAACAGGTTCTTGTGTACATCGTGCTTACCAGGAAATTGAGCTAAACAGGTTCTTGAATAGGTTCTTATTTTCTTAAGAAAAAAGCGACTCATTTTCGATAGGTGTGAAGTATTTGAACAGATAGGGCGGAAATTGAACAATGGTGAACAAATAGACGTGATTTATTTGGATATGCCAAAGGCATTCGATAAAGTAAGTCATACTAAGCTTCTACAGCGACTAACACGTATTTGGGTTTCGATGAAACATCCTGAATTGGTTCCCGTCGTATCTCAGTAATCGTCGTCAGCAAACAACGATTCATGGAGCAACATCAAGACGTCAGCCGTAACAACCAGAGTGCCGCAAGGTTCGATACTTGGCCCATTGTTGTTCCTATTGTACGAAAACCACCTCCCCAACACCGTGAACAATTCAACTATCGCCACCTTCGCGGATGATACGAAGATCTTCAAAACCATAAGCTCCACATCCGATGCATCCTCGCTATAGGAAGACCTTACGAACTTTGAAGTGTGCTCCAGCAATGTCAACCTGGAACTTAACGCGCGGTGAAAAGTGCGAAATTCTAAGAATTACCCGAAAGCAGAAGAAGATAGAATACCCTAATAAGCTTCACAGCAATGTCTTAGAATAGTTGCGATAGATGAAGCAGGCGGGAATCGTAATCTTAAGATAAATATTAATGCCCAGCAGAAAATACGTAAAAGAGCCATAACAAAAATATAGTTTAAACTATTTAATTAATGTCTTAGAAAGCACCGAGTTTGAACGTGATTTGGGAGGGTGGACTACATCTAACCTTACCTGGTCAAAACATGTTGAATGTCAATGCCCACAAGCAAGTAAGATGTCAGCATATATAAGAAGATCGACACTTGACATAAATACTATCTCCGTTCGTCGCACCATATGGCACTCAAGTCTGGGCTCTTTTTCCATCTGAATGGAAGAGTGCTGATGTCTGCCCAGCCCCCAAGAAAGCCAAAGTTGTTGATATAGAGAATGCTTTAAGACCCATATCACTTACCTCACCAGCAGCGAAAGTCTATGAGATTCATCTTAACTCACTACTACTTGATCATGTTGGCTCCAAATTGAATGATCGCCATTTCGGATCTGTTAAAGGTTCGTCCACAACCTGTGCATTGGTGGATCTCATGAACTTTCTATATTCCAATACCGACAACCCAAACGATGCAATAAGACTCTGTTTTTATGACTTGAGTAAAAGCATTGATAGAGTGGATCACAACATCTTACTGGATATCCTGAGAGATATGGATGTTCATCCTGTTGTAATTCAGAGTATTCGTAGTTTTTTTGACAGGAAGGCACCAAAGAGTGTGTGTCACCGGTTTTTCATCTGAGTGGAAACCGGTACCAGCTGGAATTCCGCAGGATGGTGTTTTGGGACCTACTCTTTTTCTATTAATGGTAAACGCCCTGGCTTACAGAGAATCGTGAAGATGGAAGTATATGGACGACCTGACTATTAGTGATACCCTTCATATTGTGAATAACTTGTGCTCTAGTAATCTCCAACAAAGCTCGAATGATATTTGTGAATTTGTACACGAAAAGAAAATGATGCTTAACCCAGTAAAATGCAAAGAAGTAATTATTCTTTTTCAAAAGATTGCCTCCAGTGATCGATAATATTACCATCAACAACGTCCCAATTGAAAGGGTATCTACCTATAAATTACTTTGGGTTAATCTGTCATCGGATCTTAAGTGGAATGAGCATGTCAATATGATAACAAAGAAAGCTGCGAGGCGTATATACTCTGTGAGACTTCTGAAAAGGGCGGGCGTTGCAGATACGGACTTGGTTACTTTCTATTCAATGTGTGTAAAAACAGTATTGGAGTACACTTGCCCTGCATGGTTTTACAGTGCTACTGAATACCTTAGAGAACAAATTGAATCCATCCAACGCAGGATCATGCGAATAATTTTCCCTGATGCTAGTTACATACCGTGCCTTTTTTAAGGAATTTTAACTGGGGGGGGGGGGCAAAACAGGAAAAAAAGGCAGAACGAAAAATATGAGCCGTCGGGGTTTGGCAAACGCGCGAGTCTGAAGAGAGATTTTGTAAAATTTTAATTTATTAACTTCAGCTATATATTACTTTAAACAATAAACTTCAACTCTTTGTAGCTCTAATCGTACAGCTATAACCAGTGGCATAGCCAGACCTTAATTTTTTTTGGGGGGGGCGAACCTCACGCCGAAGGCGTGAGACCGTCTCGGAGGGTACGGGGGCATGCACCCCACGGAAAATTTTGAAATCTAGGGTCCCTGAATTGCGATTTCAAGCATTTTGGGAGTGAAATCTAGCAGAATTCCGAAGATTATAAAGTACATCGAAGACATGAATTTTTCCAGACATTTCTACTCGGAATTAAATAAATTGGAAAAGTCACCTTGAAAAATAAGAGGAGGGATCAGTGGCACCTTATTTCCTCTCTGTGATGCTGGGGAGGTGGAAGAAAATCCCAATGTGATTTTGATCAGAAATGTTGCATTTAAATCATTTTAGGTTCTATGAGACACCATTTCCGCATTCTCTAAATTGTGTTGCTTTTTCATACGATACAGAATAAATCTGAGAAGAAATATTCATGCTATGATGATGCATACATTTATTTAACAGTTAAAAATCTAAACTAAATCTATTCTTCTTGGAACCAGCATTTTATTGGATTGTTTGCTTGAAATCTATCGTTATTATGAAATACTCGGTGAAGAACAATATGAATTACACACATGATGGTTGTGGAGGAGGCTATGGAAGGGCATAATCTCATTATCAAGTAAATCAACTGCAATTCTGACAGCAATCATGAGCAATTCTGCTTCGCACTTCCGGGGCAGAAATGGCTTTACTGGGGGAAAATTCTTTCCCTTGGGGGGCAATTGCCCCCCCCCCCAGATATATAGTTAAAAAGGCACTGGTTACATAGACGCCTTAGATATTGCTGGCATCCCTCGGCTATGTGTGAGATTGGAAGACTTATGTGACATGTTTTTCTCCAACATGAAGCAAAACCATAAACTACATGACCTTTTACCACCTACTTATCAACCCATTATAACACTAGATCTCAGGCCTCTGGAATACAATTCCAGTTACCAACATATAAAACTAATAGATCTCGAAACAATTTTATTGTTAAATCTGCTGTGAAATGGAACAATACGATTGGGAAGAATCTAGGGAATGTATAGCCCTACATATTTTTATAATGATGACTTTTTAGAATTTAGTGTAAATAATTCAGTACACACAATATTCTTTTACCTTTCTAAAGCAACATCGTAATTGGTAAATTTAATTTAGTCTTCGACTACGATTTGCTCAAATTAAAGCTATTATTATTATTATTATTATTATTATTATTATTATTATTATTATTATTATTATTATTATAACTTGATCAAGCGCATGGAAAGAGTACAAAGGCGAGCAACCAAGTACATTCTGTATCTTCCTTTCTTCTGCAAAATCAGTTACAACCAGAGACTTGATATGCTAGATATGATTCCTGTATGTTATTGGCACGAATTTCTTGATATGATTTTCTTCTTCAAATGCACTCATGAGATAATAGTTATTAACAACGACCTACTACCAACAATCTAGGATAGAGAAAGAGAGATCTGCTGATCCGAACTGTTTGATGTTTACAACAACAAAAAATGCAAGACCACAACATACTAGAAGTCATTCCTGACGAGATCAACGAGAGTATGGAACATTTTACCAAAAGACTTGACAGATAAAAACACTACATTTAACGGATTTAAAAGCGGACTTCTCAAACACTATAAATCTGCCTTACGAAATGTTAACAACACAGAGGACCCTCGAACTTGGAAATCTATATGTTTGTCTTGTAATACGTCTCGTAACCTGTCTTGTCCCACATCGTGCTGTTGTTAGTTTTTTGGGGAAGAAGCAGAATTCTCTTTGAGCTGTGTTTAAAACCAGCTTGAATATTTGAAAAACGATTAAAATATAAATATTCTGCATGGTATGAATTTAGTGAGCCTGAATGTACAGAAATTTATGGAGAAATTAGTGAGGTGTTCTGCTTTTAATCTCCGATATTTTAAAGTTTGTTCGTCTTGTATTGTGTAAAGGGTCGCTGTAATTGGCGAAAGCTGTAGCGTATGCCTAGCCATGTATCGTTTATGTTAATGTGTGTATAGCAAGTGATTTTAAGTTTATTTGGCAAAGCCTAATAAATAAATAAATAAATAATTAATTAATTTATATAAATTATGCACAAATTATCTAAAAGAAGAAGAATACGTAAACTTTTTGTCGTTGTGTTCATATAGACATGTGTTTTTTATCTAAATGACATTTCAGGGTTCTGGGTCATTTTCATTACTTTGTGAAGAGCTTATTTTCTTTGATTTATAAATTTTAGTTTTGACTCTATTTGATAAAATAAGAACCTGCTTTGGAATTCTAGCCTAAACAGGTTCTTATCTAAAGGGTCTAAATACAACTTTTTAGCAGGCTAACAGGTCCTTAACATCTAGGTTCTTATATATGCGGGGTTTTACTGTATTTCAGACTCTGGCGAGTCGATTCAATGGTATCATTCGAATTGAGCGAATAAGGGCTCCACTAGGCAATGATTGGTACAGCTTGGGAAATGAACGACTTTTCATAGCCAGTATAAGCACTAAAAAAATTGTCCCTTTAAAAAAATTACACAAGGCTTCTTCTTGATCTGAACAAAATTTTCCAACATTTAGAAGCGCACACTCTCTAGAAATGGCGACAGAAACTTAGCGTATAAAACGCTCCGCTTGCCGCCATATTTGTTAATTTGTTATTCGAGCGGCAGCATATTTAGCGTATTAGTTTTCTTGCAAAAATTATTTTTCCAAAAATCTATAAAACGGGCTGAGCGGGCGTAGCAAGCTTTCGTCCGAAGTTGCGCAGTCCCTACTTCCTTTGGGAGTCTGGGACTGCACACAGGCTGGGGCTCCACTCGAGCGGAGTATGACTGAATTTAACGAAGTCCACCTAATACTTTCTGTAATATATTGGTACCGTAGCTTGGAATCCGTGAAATTAGTAATCATTCAAATTCGTCTCAATCATTTTAGTCATTTAAAATAGCAATTTCAAATTGCTATTAAATTATTTTCTAGGCTAAAGAAATCGCAAGTCAAAAACCGCAGTTTTAATTTATGGAGGTACAAGTGCACGCAAGTCAACTGTCAATCGGAAGCAGTTACTGAACTCTATATACTCTAAAAACAGATGTGTTCAATTACACACCATGGCGTGTTTAATAACCAAGGCGTGTAGGTTTTACACACCTCTCTACACAATCCTAGAAAACACACCTTTGTGTGTGTGTTATAAAACACACCATGGGTGTGTAACAAAACACACTTAGGTGTGCTAAAAAACACACCTGACTATTTTACACACCCTTTCTTACACACCTTTGATGAATGTAACTTGTGCGTGTGTTCAATAACAATTATTTTTAATAAAAGCACATCTTGGTTACTATTTCTTGGAACGAGACTTTTTCCTAAATACTTCGTGGCAGCTATCCCAATATGTTTGCCTGGAAATACTGGTCCTTTGAATTTCGAGAATAAACAGTCAGGGACGTCGCGAAGCCATCAACGTTGGGGGAGGGGGGGGTTCGTCATGTTTTGACCAACTTTTCCTAGGGTTTGTACCAAGTCGTAAAAATTTTTCCCGGAAATGTTGTCGACGGGTGGGGGGAGGTCAAAAAAATTTTCCGGACTAATATAAGCATATTCAAAATTTTTCGTCCAATATCAGCAATGCTTCCGATTTTTTCACCACAAACGTAACTGAAGCTTTAAAATTGTTAAAAGTGCGAACCATTTCATAACGTTTAATAACTTCGACCATCTTATATCCCAAATTTTTCCGAGTTTTGCCTTCAATTGTAAGCAAATATCAGTTCCATTTTGACCAACTTTGGGCAAATATCAGTTCCATTTTGACCAACTTTGACCAACGTTTGAATTATTGGGGGGGGGGGGGG